AAAAAAACCCCTTTTACCCACCCTTTCCCCAAACCCCCCCCCCCCCCCCCCTTCAGTAAATACAAAAAGGAAAGAGTAATGAACGCTTTTTCTTCTAAAATTTGTCTTGATAACACTTATTTTTCGTCTTCTCATGTATAATAGAGATCGAGCGTACTTTGATCCATAAAAAGCACCTGTTTTATTTAGTGATATATTCTGACGTGTCACAAAAAACTGCTTCTTCAGCCCTCCTAAGTTTTGAGAACAAATCATTACAAATAAACATAAAAAAAAAAGCAGAAAAAAGGAAAGATTACAAAACGAATTCCCAAAACGTACAAAGACCGTGTTCTCTCTTTCTCTCGCTCTCTCCGCCCTGTAGTTTAGAGTCCCGGACAGCGTGGACTTTACATAATAGAAGGATTTTCACCTCTACGCTTTCCTGTACACCCTAACAATGAGACAAACACAGTTTCTACCCAAGGCATTGCACATGGCTCAATCAACACACTTTATTTTGCAATAACAAATACTTCCTGTCCAAACACAAAAGAAATCAAAAGCCGTGCATTTTTTTTTTTTTTTACTATGCTATTGATACATTTTCCGGGGAAATCTGATTTCCGCCAGTTGATTTTTTTTCACTCTAGTTATTATTCAGTGCAGAACTGGGTTTTCGGGACTGGTACTTCTGAATGAATATCTGATTTATGATAATGTCATACTTCAAAAAATAACTAGACTGCCACTGAGCTTATTAGGCAAATAAGAAAAAAAATGTATATATAAATATATATATGGATTTATCCTGTATATATAAAGATGTTTGTAACTAGTGAGCTGACGCTTGTTTTTTTTTTCTCATAAAAATTTCATTCTCCTCTATAGCTTATATGCAAGAAAATAACCTGAATTCATGTTTAACAAATTGCATAATGGGAATACAGAGGCACTTCCTTTGATTAGAAAAGAAAAGACCATTGCCATCACGATTCTCGTGTTAGTTTTCTACCAAAGCGATGACACCCGGCAACAATGCTTCCCTGCAGTGAGATACATGGTCAGGCAGTCCAGTTATTTTGTGAGGTTACCGATTACAGCTGCGTCGAAAAACAAAACTTTATCAGCGGATGAAGCTCGCCCTACTGTAAAGGCTTCCCTTTGTAGTCAATCTGCGGAGGAGAGTGTGTGTATGTGCAGACAGCCATGCCGAAACCTTACCAAATTTAGTGTAAATCTACTGAAGTGAATGGTGAAATGCGGCGTCTAATAAAAGCGATCCGAGCGGCCCGCCTCCCTCTGAGCACGGCTATGATATGTCACACATTCTTTTGCTCCGCAGCGAGGTCACATGTTCTTGGAACACGGATTTCTGGGAGTGTAAACAGGTACGTAAACAAAACACAGAAGTGGGCATGTCTCTAGGGCCGTCTTTATTAGTGCTAATGAATCAGGGACTTTTATTATGCCTCGCTACAATGATGAAATTAATTCACAGCCATTATAAATAACATAATGACTAGCTGGGGCTAGCAAAAAAAACACTAGAAAATATTTTTTATTACATAAAGTTTTATACTTCTAATTAAAAGTTTTACTATTTAAAACAGAGTTCAGACATATGGCTTTAATTTTAAAACAAAGAGAGAAATTAGTTTGAAATAACAAAAGAATGCAATGATTATATGGGATTTTTTTTAAACAAACAATTTAAAAATTGTAACTCCGTCACATGGCTGCAAAGGTGCGGTCACATTTAGCGAAATTTTGCAGGAGAAATTAGTCATTTTGATAGGATTCCACTTGGGTGCAAAATTAGAAAAAATCACTAAGCAGATTTCAAATCAGGTTCAAGATTGACAAACTAATTATTTGTGTTGACCAGCGAATTTGGCGCTTTGTGCATTTGTATAATCCCCCCAAACGAATGATTTTAAAGTTGAGCTCAGTCACATGACTGTAAAAATGATTGGCGAAACTTCAAAGGCGAAATCCAGTCATTTTAAAGAGATAATTCACCAAAAACTGAAAAGGTTTTGACGGCACCCATTGACTTCCATATGGAAAAAAAAATACTATGTGAGTCAATGGCTACCATTAACTGTTTGGTTATCACCTTTTTCAAAACATCTTCTTCTGTGTTCGACAGAAAACGAAACTCATACCGGTTTGGAACAATTTGAGGGTGAGTAAAATGTTAATTTTTGGGTGAACTATCCCTTTAATAGGAATCCACGTGATCAGGAATTTTTACGTGAGAATGAAACATTTCCCTCAAGCAGAATTCTCATCAGGTTCAAGACATCAAGACACATTTGGTGAATGTGACCGCACCTTAAGTGTTGTGCTGGTTGGCTTTATTCATCCTATAGGAGTACTAACTAAAATCTGGTGCTGTCTAGTTGGCACTAAGTGCCTGAAATGGACTTTTGTTTTATTAAAAAAAATTCTATTTGAGGCCTGAAAATGAGAACGGGCCTCTGGGTAGCTTTAGTGTGCCAGGTTAATTTTTCTCCGCAATAAAATGTGCAAATAATGTCCGCCGTCGATCCCATTTTCAATAGTGCACGTCAAATCACTATTTTTATCTGATGCTATTTTATTTGTAATCAATATTCCCGAAGCTTGAGTTCAAAAGTATGGACACTTTCGGATGGATCTGGATGTAGATTGTGAATGTGAAGAGATGCTGCTGTTACTGAAGTGAGCACTAGAGGTCAGGCTGGACTCTCAGAGCTTCTGAAGCTGACCTGCTTACCATATGGGCCTTTACAACACAGTCTGACCTGAACTAAACCAGCAAACCTCCCTTCTGGGAGCTCTGACGCATCTCCACATACCATCACACTGACTTTATCAGCATCAGCAGACGCTCGGCTCGTAAAGTTCAGATCTCGCACTGATAGCGCCAATGAACGGAGAAATATTTACACCAAGTTTATAATGCGTTCACGGCATGCTGGAATTAAAGCGTGTCTCCCAATAAAAACACTTCATGTCTTTGTCAAACTGCTAGTTTTAAATCACGTAAAAACAACCAAAAGGGCAGCAGTTTGAAATAAGTTAGATATCCATCTCTACACATTTGATTGTTTATTATAAACAGATTCTGGCTGTCAGTACAGCAGTCCAACGGCTAAATAGCCGATAAAAACGCTATACACCACACAGCAACAGCAATATCGCAATTAACCTTAGCTGACACATTAGAGGAAGGATGATGGTCTTTAATGCTGTGCTCTATATTTTCATGGCCGTTTATTTCTCTTAATATTCCTATTATAAAAATAACGAGTTAATAATTAATGAATTATATTAACTCTTTCCCCGCCAGCACTTTTTAAAAAAAGTTGCCAGCCACTGCCAGCGATTTTGATGATTTTCACTAAAATTTGATGGCCTCCAGAATATTTAGCTGTATGAATATTTGAATATGCAATACACCAAAATAAAGATCCGTTTTATTCTAGCTTAAAGCATTCTTTAAATTTTTTTATCAACACTTGAATATAGGCAGGTTTCATAAAAATGCATAATTTTGAGCAAAAAGGTGAGAAAATCACATTTTTATCAAAAACTACATCTGGGTAATATTCAGTACGATTATCAAAGCATAAATCCAGTAAATCGCATCACCTCCAAAGCTTGCACAGACAATATACTACTTCCCGGATCAACATTTTACTCCGTAACATTATGCAGTTTTCATTTATATGCTGCCATTGCTGATGATCGCATTATTTTTCATAAGCATCAGTTTACATAAAAGATCGCTCGTTTCTCCGTCCTGTTCACGTGTGGTTTTGTTCGGGAGGTTTTGTACTCGTTCAGAAGATGTGTAATAGCGCCCCCTAGTGTATAACAGGGAAAACACGAAAAGCCGTACAAACTCATCTTTGGCGGGGAAGCGTCGTCTTCTAAAAGACGAGATAACTCGTCAATGGCGGGGAAGGAGTTAATAACGATTTCTAATAATATGTGCATTTATAAATATCACAACATTTTATATAAAAATATCCGTAAAATAATACATTCATATATTATAGTTTTATATATATATATATATATATATATATATATATTGCGTCATGGTTTATATTATATAACACTGTAAATTGAAAATTTTACATAATAAATTATACTTAATATATAAAATAACTATAATACATTTATAACATTCAATATATATATATATATATTCTAAATATTTAAAAATGATATTGTATATGTGCAGTATATATATATATATATATATATATATATATATATATATTTATAATAATGCATACGTATATATTAACTACATTCACAATTATCAGAATCATAATTACTTAATATTTTACATAATATCCTTAATAGTTTGTACATATAGATAGATTGATAGATAATTATATAATATAAATATATTATTTTAAATATAATTTCTTTACATTTTATATAAAAATATAATGCTTTTATCCAATCCGCTCGCACACCTTGCCTTGTGAGACAAATGTACTTGCACAAGAGCTCTTGTTAGGCTATATATTGAACCCCCTCGTATTGACTGGTAAAACAAGTGAAAAAGCGCTTGAGCGTTTGATATGCACTCAGGACGATAGCGAGAGCTGGGCTTGTTACTCCTGATTGGTTTTTACAAAACTCTCGAAGTCAAATCCTGGAAACACTTTGGCTGAGAGGCTCTGTTAGGAGGGGCGGCGGGTAACTTTTGTTCTGGTTGACTCTTGCAGGTCACGCAAACACCACCACCCGCCCAACAGCCACTCGGGCCAAGTAACTCTTCCCCTGTAAGCTGTACTCCTCCCTCTCGCAATCCCATCTTCCCCCCGTAATCCTTGGCATTGACCAGCTCTGCCCCCCCACCCTCAAGTTCAAGTTCAACTGCCTGTGACATCATGTCTCGTTGCTGTGGGCAACCAGACAGTCGGGACGTGACTTCTCAGTTTAGGGGCCGTGCTTCAACTTTGCCTCTCTTTTCTCCGTTCCTGTCTCACATTTCCGCAGTTCTTTTCTCGTGTTTCTGACTGGGAATGGCACGGGGCTGAGAGCGCTTCCCCCGTACGGATATACAGGGTTCAAACACTTAAAGACAGACTTAAAAATGTTTGAATGTCACTACATTAGATGAGCCTGTATCTGTGTCTCAAACACCGCAGGATCTTTCTCTTCACTAATGCCACTTTTACTCGGCGTCGTCTAGGTGGTTTTTACAATTACTAGTGCACTTTCTCAAAATAAAATGAAAAAACCTTTTCTCTTCCCCAACACTGTCTCAGTGTCTTTTGACAAAACTGGTCTTTTGGTGATTTTGACAATTATTAATGTCCTTTCTCAAAATAAAACGTATTTATAGGATCTTTCCTTTCATTAACGTCATTTTTGCTTTGCGTCTTCTGACAAAACTAGCATTTTGGCGATTATTACAATGATTAGTTCACCTTCTCATTGCACATTTTCTTGGAATAAAATAAATAAATAATCCACTAACAATTCACAAACACCAAGTGTTACAAACCTTCTGTCTTCATTTTCAGCTCTAGTTCTGTTGATTTATGACTGAAAACCTAAGTTGTTTTTGTGTAATATTTTGTTTGAAAATAATTTTTCCCTTCAAAATACATGTCACTTGCTTTGATATTTTGTTATCTAATGTATAACATTTTAAAGTATAACTGAAGTGTCCAAATGTCTTTTGGGGACACATGAACGCTCAAGTGCAAGTTCACTGATACCCTCAGGAAACATGTCTTTAAATCAAATGACACTGAATTATAATTAATAAGGCACTTACTCAATGCACATTTTATTAAACAAACAAACAATACATATTTTTCTATTCCCACTGCCTCTTGTTATTCGAATCATTGGATAACACTGAAGGAAAAAATAAATTAAAATAATAAATTAATCAAATTAGTTATAATTTATTCTTTTTATTAATGTTTGTATTGTATCGGATTACAAATATCAATGCATTTTCTCAGTGCACGTTTTCCTAACAATAACAAATAAAAAAATACTAATAAAATAAATATTTCACTGCTGTCGTGCAATAATTATTACAACAGTAACAATTTACTTTCATTACTACCTCACTGCCTCTTGCATTGGTTGTTTATCAATTAATTACAATTATTAATTCTCAATGCAGTTTTTTTTAACAATACAAATTTGTAAAAATGTTTTACTGTTGTTGTGTAATAATAACACGATCTTTTTTGAATGCTTGTATTACAATGAATTACAACTAATTCATTTCTCAAAGCACATTTTGAAAATAAAAACAACTGAATAATTAAGTGCAACTGCAAATAACGAATCTTCGCAAAACGTTTGCTTATGATAACTTGCTGCTAATTTGCACACTCAAGCAGTTTCTCTCTGAGAGGACTAAAACAAAAAGTTCTTTATCTGCCTTTTAAAATTTAGAATAAAATGTGCCAAATGCGAAGTCACTGACAGGAGAGAAGACAAAAAAAAAACAGGAGTCACCAGCAGAGGGTGATAGCGAGTCGAGAAATTAGTTAAAGAAGGTAGAAATGAGGAACGGTTAAGCAGAAAGAGAGGGAAATAAATGGTCAAATCCAGAGAGGCCGACCAGCAGAGGGAGGAGGTGAGAGCGGGTGAGTTAGCGGCTTCAGATGGTCACCATGTGTTGAGGAGCAGGGAGCCGCCCCGGGGCGGGTGTGCTTTACACATTAATGACTAAAGTGTACTGGGTGATGGAGGAGGCCGCACATTCGCAACGCTCAAATCAACTACACCACGCCGATCAGCTCCAGTTATCGCAGACCCGCTCCAGATGGGCCCGACACCGCAGAACAGAGAGCATCATGGGAAACGAGGAAAGTCAGGAGGGGAGCAGCAGCCTAACGTGTTAAGATGCATGATTTTAAACACTCAAAGGTTAGTTTTGAATATGACCGAGTAAGAATCACCTGCGTCTGCTGGGGTATGTTCAGAAAGTTGTTGTCCCGTGATCCGATGCTGACAAACCTGTTGGGAGCTGTGGAGCCTGGCGTGGAGTATGCTGAGGGAGAGAAAGAAACATTTCATTTCTTTTCTTTTTTGAATCACCCTGTACACTCTTAAACATAAAGGTGCTTCACGATGCCATAGAAGAACCTTTTTGTCTAAATGGTTCCATAAAGAACCTTTAACATCTGAAGAACCTTTCTGTTTCACAAAAGCTTCTTTGTGGTGAAAGAAGGTTCTTCAGATTATAAAAAGGTAAGAAAGAGATGGTTCTTTAAAGAACCTTTGACTGAATGGTTCTTTGTGGAACCAAAAATGGTTCTTCTATGGCATCGCTTGAAGAACCTTTTGAAGCACCTTTATTTTTAAGAGTGTATTAAAACAAATTTTAGTTAATGTGATCTATTTGAAAAGATCGATTGATTCTGCAAAGGCAAACCTTCAGATATATTGTGCAAATTTCATCAGATATATAGTGGAAACTGAAACTTTTCTGTACTGAATTGACTTGTTGGCAAACAACAAACTTGCAAAATCGTTTAGTTATTAAAACAAATTTTAGTCAATGTGATCTATTTGAAAAGATCGATTGATTCTGCAAAGGCAAACCTTCAGATATATTGTGCAAATTTCATCAGATATATAGTGGAAACTGAAACTTTTCTGTACTGAATTGACTTGTTGGCAAACAACAAACAAAAGCAATGTAAGAATGTATCATTAAAGATACACTGACTGTTCTTGGTTCACACGGTTGAAGATCAATAGATTAAAAAGGTGTTTGAATCTGCAAATCGGTTTGAAGTCATTATCAAATTTAGGGCAGTTTTTGTTTGGATTCAGATTTATGTGATGGACTCCATGGTGAAGCTGTTCATCAAATATAGAGATCTAACATAAATCAGTATGTGTGTAAAAACATGGAGAAATCAAACACAAAGAGCCGCACTCGTTCTACAGTTTGCTGTTAGCGCTTTCATCAGCAAACATTCAAAAAGGCAACAAAGAGAAGTCGCTTTGTTCATGACATTCTACATTAATGCTGATAACTTCTTAATTAATATAGAATTGAATTCTATATTATATAGGATATGTACAATATTAATGGAAACATTTAAACCTGTGACTACAGATTTAAATTCTACATTCATGTAAATAAATTCTATTTTAATACAGAATTCTATATTACTAATACATAAACGCTAATATTGATACACCTATGATCACAGAATTGAATTTTACAATAATATATAATTGAATTATATAAAATATAAATGCCAATATATGAACTCCTGTGATTGCAGAACTGAATTCTACATGATTGCAAACAAATTCTATATTAACATACAATTGAATTCTATATTATAAATATATAATATATAAACACTAATATATAATAGACTGTAATTTCAGAACTGAATTCTACATGAATGCAAATAAACTCTATATTAACAGAATTTAATTCTATACTACTGGACTGTGTTTCTATAAACCTTTGACTGTGGTTTGCAACCATAATATACCTACAGTTAAATTATAGAACTGGCAGAAGAAATCTGTTCATTGTTATTAATTATTTACCGACTGTTTGCTCCTTGTTGTTGTTGTTGTTGTTATGGCCATTATATAAAAAACTATGAGTTACAAGAGGCCATGTGTATTTTTTTTAATGGCTAAGGGGGGTTTCAGGTTTTCATTTGTTTTGTATCTTTCCCCCGAACAACCCCCATTAACCATGGTAAACTCATAATACATGACCTCTAAATGCGTAATGCTGTAACAAAACAAAAAAACCCTCTCTTTTAATTTGTGATCAGGTTTGTTAAGTGCATTCTGGAGAATCTGCAACATATAAACACATAAAAAGACACACACAAACAACATAAAATACAATGAAAGAAAACACAATGAAAAGGAACGAAAAACTGAAATAAGAAACATGATAGAAAAGAGGAAAAAGTGCTCCGTCCAGTGCCCCGTCTGTGGTGAGTGAATATTTTACAGTATGTCTGATTATCCACCCCGATACGCCACCTCCTTTCTGAACGGCCCAAATTTGGCTCATGTACTGGACGAACTGACCTTTAGACCAGCACTGGAGCTCAACTATCACATTTTCACAGGCCAAAAGCTAACTAGCAATGTGAACGTAACCAAAACAAACTCAAATGAAACCAACGTAAAATTACAAAGCATGGGTTTCTGGATGTTGCATTCGGGAGTGTAAAGGCCCTTTCACATCAGGGCTGCAATGCAATTTGACCAGCACAAACCAACCTGGACCAGAATATGAATTCAAGAGGGTCAAAGCTGGTCTTTTCAGTTTGGTAGATACAGATTCTTCCATCTTGTTTTGATTTTAGTGCCTGAACTGCCACACAATAATGAGGTCAAGAGATTTGTACAATAATAGCTGCATTTTGAAAACGGTTTCAACTAAAATGCTTTTTTAAGTAGTTTGGAGTCCACTTTAACTGCCCTAAATTTGCACCCTTGAATACAGAGCCCCCAAGAGGACATGGTCATGGAAAAAAATATGAGATGGGAGGAAAAATTATTTTTCAAAGATTCTGCAAAACTTCGCATTCGCTTGCAAGACGTTTGCATTCTCTTACAAAAGTACTACATTCCCCCATGATATTTTGTTTACTTGCAAAACTTTTGCATTCTCCCAAGAAATTTTGAATTTGCTTACAAAACATTTGCGTTAACTTGCAAAAGTACTGTGTTTTTCCCCGAAACTCTTTGTGTTCACTTGCAAATCTTTTGCGTTCCCTTTCAAAAGTATTGCATTCCCCCCAAAAAACTTTACATTCGCTTGCAAAGTAAAGCATTAGCTTTACTTAGTATTGCGTTCTCTCGAGAAACTTTGTGTTCGCTTGAAAAACGTCTGCGTTCCCTTGCAAAGGTACAGTATTGCGTTCTCTTGCAAAAGTATCATATTGTTGATAGTATCGCGTTCCCCCGAGAAACTTTGTGTTCACTCGCCAAACATTTGCATTAGCTTGAAAAAAGTATTGCGATCCCCTGAGAAATTCTGTTCACTCGTGAAAGTATTATTCCCCCGAGAAACTTTGCATTCACTTACGAAACTTTTGAGTTCTCTTACAAAAGTATTGCGATCCCCTGAGAAATTTTGTGTTCACTTACAAAACTTTTGCATTCTCTTGCAAAATATTTTTGCAAGAGAACAAAAAGTTTGCATGTTTTGTGAACAAATGCAATTTTTTCAGAGGAACAAAAATGTTTCGCCAGTAAACGTAAAAACACTGAAAAATTATTTTTCCTCCCATCTCAACTACTCCACAGCCCCCCCCCCACCCCCATCACCACATCCCTTTATGGGCTCCGTACTTTAGTGACATTTTGATGGCTGTTAAACAGTTAAACCACTAAAACTGCTGCCTCAAAACTAGGATAATATAAAAATAACGAGAGAAAAAAAATTGTAAGAACTAGTTCTGACCCACCAGTTGGCAAAAATTACGAATAATGGGCATTTCATGTTAACTTAAGGAACACAAACTAAATGGCAAAAAGTGGTCCAGCTGTGGCTAGACGACTGGGGATCTTTATAGGGTTTGGTGGAATGGGGGGTCGGGTCACTTACACGGAGATGTGGGTGAGGTGAGTCCACCATCGGGGGGCGTGCTGCTGGATTTAGAGTCTGGCATTGGGAGGGGCACTGGACGCGCCACAGGGGGGGGTGGAGGCAGCAAGAAGGAGCCCGGCATTTTGCTCTGGCCGCTCCCGTTCGGCTGCAGACGACACAAACAGGGTGAGGAGTACGGACACGACCGACACCCCGCAAATGGAAAAAAACAACGCAGGCTAGCTCCGAAAAAAGGTATGGGGGGTGGTTGGTAGTGGAGAGTGTTGAGAGGGAAACAACCAAAAGGATGAATGTCTTTTGTTTATGAAGGGGGGTGTTTGTATTTGTTTGTGTGCATGTTTGTGTGTTGACTTCACCACAGGCACAGACAGGAGCAGTGGAGGAGCTGGAAAAAAATAAAATGAAGGACTAGGCAGAAGGTGAAGAAGAAGAAGAAATGGACGCACTAATGGTGAGGTGAGTTTTGGTCCATGGAATGATGTCAAATCAAAACCAGGGCGCAAAAAAAACCAAGCCACGTTCACGACGCTAAAAAAATGTCACAAGAACTGAGGAGGGGATGCGCGCTACGCTGAAATGCACAGAGGTCGTCAGCTGTTGCGCAGATGGGTTTTATCGTGGAAGTGGACAGAGAAGGAGAGATTAACTCAAGATCGGCTAGACAAGCACAAGATACATAACAGTGACCAATCAGTCGGCCTCAAAGACAAGGAACGCACACATTTGTTTGTATCGGAAAAGACAGGAGGAGCTTGTTTCGTGTTTTAAGAAATGCAAACAAAAGTAATACAGCTGATAATGTTATTTGCACATCGAACAAAAAAAAAAACCTTTTTTAGGAATCATTAAATAATCTAATTTTAAAATCCAAATTTTTTTTTTCTTCCAGTGGTTAGGACTTGGATTCAGGTCTGTAGTAATTATAGATAAATAATAAAAAAACAATAAAAGTGAATTGAATGTTAGTACTGTAAATTAGGGCTGCATGATATATCGTTTCAGCATCGACATCACGATGTGCGCATTCACGATAGTCACATCGTAGGATGTGCGATGTTTAGTATACTGACCGTTACATTTATACTGATCGTTTTCTTCGCTCACCAGACGTGACATCTGTCGTGTCGCGCCGTCCCGCGCTGCAGCTGAAGTCTGTTTACACTGGACGCGACAAAGCGACCTTTGCAAATCATCTGAACTGTGTGTCACTGTCGGGGATTTGTCGTGTTGCCCCCATCCAGTGTAGACAGCATCACTGATTATAATGGGTTCTATAGTATTTTGGCGTGCTGCGCCGCTTGCGTCCAGTGTAGACACAGTGAGAGCTGCGCAGATGCACGTGAACTCTGAATTCTGTTCACTTCCGCGTGCGTCTATTAATGACACATATGCGCAAAATTATGTCAAAATGCATGTCTCTGCAAGTATCCTTGTAAACACAGTTGCTTATGGCTTAGGTGAAGGTAAACAATTGTGAAAGAAAATGGATGTGTGAGAAAATTTTGTAGCTTTAGATTTATTTATACAGTGAAGACTATGCAGTGTTATTTTACATTTGATTATTCAATTTCTGTACCTGCATACTGTTAGACTTACCTGAAAAATGTAAAGCACTGTTCATTTGTATTTTTGTTCTCTTTATCTATGCTTGTAATTTGTTTATTGTCTATGCTGATTTACTCACCTACAAAATCACCCCAATCATTGATTTTTTTCCCCCAAATAGAGCTATTCAAGTCATCTGGTGATTTTTTTTTTCATAACGCAATATAAAACAAAATATCACAATGTGAGTTTTTTCCAATATCGTGCAGCCCTACTGTAAATGTGTGCTAAATATGCGTGTGTGTGTGTGTGTGTGTGTGTGTTTACAAAGATTAGAGACAAAGCTGTTCCAAGAACAGAGCTAAATCAAAACCTCCCTTGGCAGATCCTACAAGACATCCTCGTAGGTAAAAATTATTCAGAAATATATGAATCGTTATATAATCAAATTTTTGAAATCCAAAAAATGCTAAACTTTTATTGGTTAGGGTTTCGGTTAAGCTTTTACTAATTATAGTTAGCTTTATATTAAATAATGTGTGCCTCAATTTATAAAGTATTACAAAAACGCCATTTGGAAAACTATTCAAAAATAAAAATAATGATAATATATATGTATATATATATATATATATATATATACATATATATTATCATTATTTTGTAAAATAAATACATAAATTATAGATTTATGTACAACATTTAAAATATATAGCCTATTATATCTATATTTCTCTCTTCCTGTGTTCTTTCATTCTCACGCTCTCTTATAATCTCTCAAACTCAAAATTGTCCAGACAAACACCAACATGCTCTCAGAGTTAAAAAAAGGCTCTTAATTCTGGTTATGTTATCATAATATTTCATCATGGATGATGTAATAATTTTTATTACAAATTGCCAACAGAGCCCCCAAACTCTAACATGGACGACTATGCCAATCAACCATAAATGTGAAAGATAGACTGATTGCTTCCACTTGAACATGAGTTCCAGATTTTGTACTTTAGACAACCTGCTTCTTTGTTTATTAAACTGAATGAAAGCACAGATAAACAAATAAAACAAGGGGATAAATCCTAAAACGAGGATTTAAAGTATGTGCAATGAGGAATAAAAATGCAATGTCGATACATTTTTGTATCAGCACAACCCTAATGTGAACAAACTGCAGTAGTTGATAAATCATGACGTGCTCTCATTTGCATGAAGAATAACATTATGCTCATCTCCCGACCAGCGAGTGGAGGGGTCTTGTCTCCTCCAGACAAGCAGGGCCCCCAGCTGCCTGGGACAGTCTGCCAACTTCCAGAGCCTCCCTGTAACCCAGACGCGGGCGCTGCGCTCCCAGCCAAAGCCCTGCTTTTCACCCTCTCTGCCACGCAGACTGCTATTCCCTCCGTTTCTTTCGCGCTTTCATCATCCACCCTTTAATCCCATTAGGGAATGGGATGGAGCCAAGGCTTCAAGAAGGAGGCAAATGGCACCACAAACTACCACCATCAAAGACCCCCTCCCACCAGGAGTGACTCCACAACAACAGCTCTAAACACAACTGCTACACACAACACAGGACCACACAAGAGCCATCGCATAACATCACCAGCAATTCATCTGAACATATAACGCGAAAACACAACTGATCCTGTCTATCCGTCCGTCTATCTATCTATCTATCTATCTATCTATCTATCTATCTATCTATCTATCTATCTATCTATCTATCTATCTGTCTATCTCTCTATCCATCTATCTATCTATCTATCGTCTATCCCTCTGTCCATCTATCTATCTACCTATCTATATATCTGTCTATCCCTCTGTCTATCTATCTATCTGTCTATCCCTCTGTCCATCTATCTATCTATCCCTCTGTCCATCCATCCATCCATCTATCTATCTATCTATCTATCTATCTATCTATCTATCTGTCTATCCCTCTGTCCATCTATCTGTCTATCCCTCTGTCCATCTATCTATCTACCTATCTATATATCTGTCTATCCCTCTGTCTATCTATCTATCTGTCTATCCCTCTGTCCATCTATCTATCTATCCCTCTGTCCATCCATCCATCCATCTATCTATCTATCTGTCATCCATCCATCCATCTATCGTACCCGTCTGTCCGTCCGTCCGTCTGTCTGTCTGTCTGTCTGTCTGTCTATCTATCTATATCTATCTATCCTACCCATCTGTCCATCCGTCTGCCTGTCTGGCTGTCTATCTATCTATCTATCTATCTATCTATCTATCTATCTATCTAGTAGGGATGTAACGATTAAACGCGAACCGGTTGAAAATCGATTCAAATATGTGACGATTCAAATCGGTTGAGATGCTAAACAAATCTCGATACAATTAGGGGTAGGAGTTTATATGAATGTATGTCTGAGGGGAACTTACTGTCTTTAGAAAAGTGTAGATGGTATTTTTTCTTTTCATCTTGCCTCTGTATAACGCATATTAAAGTTCATAAGTGCAGCGCTGCTTTGTTTACAGCGGAAACCAAGGAAATGCTTTAAGCGCCACCTGCTGGCAGAGAGTGAATCTGTGTCTCATTCAGCTCGTCTGCTGTTTCTGTTTCATACAGATATTTTTATGTATAGTTTCACAAAACTGAAGTCACACCATTCTGTTTTTGCTTCAAATTTCGAAATTATACAATCTAATATAGATTAAAAACTGCTCATGTTGCATGTATGCAGCATCTTTGTTTGGATCAGGATTAAAATGCAGGTTGCCTCTAATTTTAAATGGAAAGAGCACAGACAAAGCCTTAGTTTGTTTATATGAAGAGATTTATTAAAAAATTTCAATTTAGTTTTGTTATTTACATTATATTTAAATTTAGTCATTTAGCAGATGCTTTTATCCAAAGCGACTTACAAATGAGGACAATAGAAGCAATCAAAACCAACAAAAAAAGAAATAATATGCAAGTGCTATATTAGTATATTATTATAGTGTTATATTTCAATTTCACAAAGAAATGTGCAGCATTTTGTCCAAGCAATAATAAAAGGACACATTTAATTTATAATTTGTCTTAAAAAATTGTGAATCGAATCGTGAAATCAAAATCGTGAATCGAATCGAATCGTGAGTTGAGTGAATCGTTACATCCCTACTATCCATCTATCTTCTATGTCTATTTATCACTGTCTGTCGTTCATCCATCCATCCATCCGTTTGTCTGTCAGTGGAGCTGGTTATCATAGTTTTGTAAGTTTTAAATAGCTCTCTGAAGAGAAAGAATTAATAATGGGTAAATTAGTATGTATTCATCTACAAAACCATCTACAAAAAAAGTACATCTACAAATGCCACTGATTTGATGACAAGATTTGTGATGTCTAATTTTGGCACATTTATAATGTTTTCCTTCTTTTCCATCTTAATTGATAATAGATGATAAAATACTTCAGAACATCTTTGAAAATGCAGTTTTCTAATCCTGTGAGTCTTGCATTAAAGGAGAGTGGATATGTACTTTGATCACTGCTGCACAGCATTTAAAACAACATCTTACAAGCTCACGTGCATCTGGGCAGTAAAACGACGCCTCTAGCGGAGGGAGAATGAAGTCGGGAAATGGAGAGACCAATCACCAACCAATCACATTGACAGACAGACAGACAAAAAGACAAATCAGCCTCGGTACAGAGGAGAAAGGGGTGGGGGGGGTAGAATGGCGAACGCCTTCACCCGACCCGACCGTGGCGTAAACACGACCTTGCCTCTCCCCGAACGTCACCACATCCGAACCCACCAGGGGGCGTGAGGGAGCAGAACAGGAAGGGGAAGGATGTGGGAGGTGGGGTGGGGGGGCTCTGAGATCTCACCTGGTCTTACACCTGCCAGCATAGGCAGCGGGTGATGGGTGAACGGCATGCGTGCAGACCTCGTATGGCCGGACAGAGCGCTGAAATCGAATTTCCCCGACTTCTTAAGAGAACCAGGCGACGAGAGTCCTGGTAAAAATGGGATCAACAAAATGGCAGAACAGAGATGTGGATTTAATCAAACAGGGTTTTTGCTTCTTGATCTTCACCTAAAAAAAATTATCTTATCCATATCAGCTTCTAAAATATGACAAATTTGCTGATAATAATACTTAAAATGATCTTTTAATCTACAGATAAGATACTGCTAGGGTTTTTTGTTTGCTGTGAAGTATAGAAAAGCCAATCACACTGCAAAAAAATAATTATTAATCAGTATTTTGTCCCATTTTCCAGTAAAAACATCTTTAACCAGATAAAAAAGTATTTGCCAATGAGTTAGAAAAATACACTTAAATAAAAAGAAAAATAAATGTATTTTTTTAACCCCAATGTCAAATTGCTTTATCTTAAGAATGCAAAAAATATATATTAAGTATAAACTTCACTAAATGCACACACAAAAAAAGTTTCATTCATCCAATTAAAAAATTTGAATTAATGATTCACATCTATATTTTTTAACTGGAGCCAATGAAAAATAAATAACTTGCCCTTAGATAGAATGAAACCATTTTTTCAGTGTAAATAAGATGTTGACTCAAGTAAATGCATCTTGTTTTAAGGATGTTAATATAATTATACTGGAAAACAAGGTGAAACACTGCTTAAGAACTGTGTTTTTGCAGTGCTGACAGGTCCAGGGTGCGAGCTTTGCTTTGAAGCAGTGGAGTGCAGGAAAGAGTGGGATAGGGGTCGGGACAGGGCCGGGAAGGGTCTCTATTAGGGCTGCATGATATTGGAAAAAGCTCACATTGCGATATTTGTTTTTTCTGCAATATATATTGGGATATAAAAAAATCAGATGACTTAAATAGTTCTATTTGGAAGAAAAAAAAATCAATGATTGGGGTGATTTTTGTAGGCGAGTAAATCAGCATAGGAAATACAAGCATAGATAAATAACAGAACAAAGATACAAATGAAATAAGCAGTGCTTTATATTTTTCAGGTAAGTCTAACAGTATTCAGGTACAGAAAATTGAATAATCAAATGTAAAATAACACTGCATAGTCTTCACTGTATAAATCTAATAAATCTGTGTTAAAGCTACAAAAGTGATTTTTCTTTGTGTTTTGTTGTTTGATTAACGTTCATGACAGAGAAAGCAACAGGAACATTAAACTACTGTGAACCAATATACTGTTACACATCCATTTTCTTTCTCAATTGTTTACCTTCACCTAAGCCATAAGCAACTGCGTTTACAAGGATACTTGCAGAGCACAGTATTTCAGGCACAGATAGACGCAGAAGTGAACAGAATTCAGTGTTCACATGCATCAGCGTGGCTCTCACCGTGTCTACACCGGACGCAAGCGGCGCAACAAAATACAATAGAACCCATTATAATCAGTGATGCTGTGTGACTGACTACACTGGATTGTGTGCGACACGACAAATCCCCGACAGTAAACTGATGCCTCATTCTATTTGACGTACTGACACAAAGTTCAAATGATGGGCAACAGTTGCTTTGTCGCGTCCAGTGTAGACAGACTTTGGGGCCGTTCACATGTCGCACCTAAAAATGCATGGAAAACACCAATCGCACCGCTTTCTCCTACTTTCCAAAGCGCTCGGGAGCTTGCGCTTTCATGGCGTCTGCCGTTGCTAAACAACCGTGACCTGCACTCTCCGCGACGACGCGGAAGTGTCAACAAAGGATAAATGGATTTCCAGCACTGAAAACCGCTTGCAGTAGCTCTGCTACTAAATGTATTTAAAATGGGTATCTCTGTACAACTGTCGCATCCGGTGTAGACACAGTGTCTGTGTGTGAGCAAAGAAAACAATCAGTATAAATATTACAATCAGTAGCCTATACTAAACATTGCACATGTGACTATCGCGGATGCGCACATCGCAATATAGATGCTGAAATGATATATCGTGCAGCCATAGTCTCTGTGCAGCTGTAAGTGGAAAAATAGATGCCAAGACAGCAGATCCCATAAAAACTCATGTCAGTCTGTCTGTCTGTCACTTTCAAATCACCAAATCTTAAAGGAAAGAGCACAGTGTCAAAGCATGAATGTCAGGATGTTGCCTCTATTTCTGTTTTTACAGTGACGTTTTCAAGGACACTAAAAAAAAAAAAAAAAAAACTACTAGTGATATATCAATACATACACTACCTCCAAATCTTTTGGGGTCAGTACATTTTTCAATGTTCATAGTGTCTCTTATGCTCACCAAGGCTGCATTTATTTGATACAGTAAAACAGTAATATTGTTAAATATTTTTAGAATATAAAATAACTGTTTTCTATTTGAATATATTTTAAGATGCAATTTATTTCTGTGATGCAAAGCTGAATTTTCAGCATCATTACTCCAGTCTTCAGTGTCACATGAGCCTACAGAAATCAATGTAACATGCTTATTTGATGCTCAATAAACATTTCTGATTATTATCAATGCTGAAAACAGATTTGCTGCTTAATATTTTTCTGGAAACAAAATAGAAAATATATATGAAAAAACTGCATTTGGAATAGATTTTTTAACAACATTATAAATGTATTTAGTGTCACTTTTGATCAATTTAATTGAATCTTGCTTTTTAAAAGTATTAATTCTTCAATCTTACTGACCATAAACCTTTGAAAGGTAGTGTATAAATTGATTAATGTGCCTTATTTTAGTGCTAAATTTCCTTGTTTCTCTTCCAAAATCGCAATATTTATATATATAGTAGTATAAAATGTTTTAGAATTTTAATATTGTTAACATTTTATGTGCATCCCACTTACTTTAACAACAACAACAACAACAAAAACATACAAATACAAGTATTATTACAACCATTGGTAACCTTAACAGATTATTAGTAGCCTTAATAGATTATTAATGGGTAGCTTAATACACTGAACAAAATTATAAACGCAACACTTTTGTTTTTGTCCCCATTTTTCATGAGCTGAACTCAAAGATCTAAGACTTTTTCTATGTACACAAAAGGCCTATTTCTCTCAAATATTGCTCACAAATCTGTCTAAATCTGTGTTAGTGAGCACTTCTCCTTTGCCGAGATAATCCATCCACCTCACAGGTGTGGCATATCAAGATACTGATTAGACAGCATGATTATTGCACGTGGATGAATTATCTCGGCAAAGGAGAAGTGCTCACTAACACAGATTTAGACAGATTTGTGAACAATATTTGAGAGAAATAGGCCTTTTGTGTACATAAAAAAAGTCTTAGATCTTTGATTTCAGCTCATAAAAAATGGGGGCAAAAACAAAAGTGTTGCGTTTATAATTTTGTTCAGTATAGATATCAGCATTAGCATATTAACCCTACTGGTTCTCCACTACCCATTTAAAAAAAAAAGTCCAAAAGCATTAAAAAAAAAGAAATCAAATCCACAACAAAATACTTCTGCCAATATTTAAGAGGTGAAAAACAGATCACAATCTACAATTTAAATATAAAAGCAAGAATAAACAAAAATCTCTTCATTTCCAGATGAGTTTGCTTACATTTGTTTGAAACGATGGGTTTATCGGCACTACATCTCTTTAACAAGTTTCTACTAGTCAGCAAAGTTGTTCAGTTTACAGATCACAAGCCAATTAATAAAACATACTATACAAACACTTGAGCAAAAACGAACTAAATAAAGTCTGCTAAAACCAAACATCATAGAGTAAACGCATTTAGTTGAATAACTTGTCTGGTGTATGTGAATGTGTGTTCAGATTGACTCCAAATTTCAACATACTCAAGCGACTGCATTACTAATGCCAACCGAACAGGACGACACGTCTTCACAAACCAAATGCAAATGAGTAAATAAACGTAAATGCAAGCTGTGTACAGACTCTGACATACAGACACTCTTAAACTTCACCTGGGGAACTAAATCAGAGGCTTTCACTTGACTTTTCAGCGCCGAGGGAAAAAGTCAAACATAAGCGCTTCTGTTCCAGCGGCAGGTCTGAACGCTCATGCCAAAAACAGGAGGACAGGCAGGAAGCGTGATGTGAGAATGATGAGGGAAATGAAAGCAGAAAGTATACGATGGTTTGGTCTTCTCGTATATAACGCTGCATTAATGTGTCGTCCTGATCCTAGAAATGTCAAACTGAGGCCGCAGGGCTGCTAGCTTCAGCTGTCCTGAGTTTGGCAGAGACGCTAGGGCTGAATATACGCCGTGCTCACACAGTGACCATGAAACACGGCCAAACATGTCAGGACTCGGGAAGGAAAGGAAAAGGAGTTTACCATCAAATCCTGTGGCTAGTTTTGGGGGAAACAATTATCCTAAGTGGTTATTTTCAAAACCCAATTTAAGATGTTAAAGAGCCGCGTGTGGAAGCCACACACACACATATATAACACATACATAAAAATGTGTATAAATAATATTAATAATACTGTAAATATTATAATATAATAATTTAATATTCTTAACATTATAAGATAAGTAATGTTGTGGCTATATAAATATATGCATCTCTGTAAGGTGCTGAAAATCGCCGCTAAAACACCTTCAGAGTTGCTGCTGACAGTTTCCATGATCTTGCACATTAGCCTGTGTATTTGTGTGTGGTAAAATCATGGGTTATGTGTTATTTCTCTGTGTCTTGTGCCAGCCCCGACGCTCTGGCAGACTGGCAGCCAATCAAACGCTCCTGTGACCTTCCAGACTCGCCATGCTAACAAGCTGGCCACCAATCAAACCTTGACCTGTCAAAAAATGCCATATATAACGCTCTTCACACGACACACACGCTCTTAAACAGACACACACATTTACCATCCAACCATCAGAAAGCCCCTCTACAGACACACGCAGAAAGTCACAAATCCAAGTACAAATCACTTCTGCCATGAACTTACAGTAATAATACACATGGGTTCCCAAGCCCTTTGCCTAATGATTTTTTTTGATTGATGCCAATTAAATAGTTTAAAGCATTTTAAAAAATCATTGTAGATTTACTATGGAAATTGTGGCTTTTTCAGTTGATTGATTTTTAAAAATATTTTTTTCTTTAATTTACACACACACAAAAAAACAATTACTTGCCATTTAAATATTTTCAAGAAAAAACAAATAACAAAGAAAAAAACAAGCTATATTTAAAAACAGACATTTATATGATTTCTCTGGTCAACAAATTTACCGAAAATAATTTAATCACTTTACACTCAAAAAGAACATTTCCTTGCCAATTAATATTTTGAAAAAACTTATATTTATGATGGATGCTTTCATTAGTCTCTTAATCGATCGGTTTTTAAAAATAATTTGTCATTTTACACTCAAAAAGACCAATTGCTTGCCAAATGAATATAAAAAAAAACTTATCAAAGATGACTGACAATTAGCATACAGTTTGGATTGGCGGTACAGTTCTGTTCTGGGCAAGAACTCCCTGCGCATCCATGCAGCCTAGCATAGATAAGAGCAGGGAGAGCAGCAATAACCCCCTTAGGGTAAACAGAACAGAACCAACATAAATGTATTGCGGATATCATTCATGCTCAATAATTTAATGTAAACATTTTAGAAATGAGTCTGATTCAATGGGGAATCATAAGGCAGAATCCTGACTGACGAGAGGAGGAGCTGGGGATGGAGGAGGGTAATTAGCTATTGAGCAATGTGAAAGCTGCTGATAATATTGAAGGGCCTTATATATGGGTGCTGTGATAGATGTCACATCCCTATAGGTAGATGTGGATCAGCTGAGAGTCAGCTGATGCCAGATTAACTAACGTGACCTGCCAGAACTAATGCTACGCTTGATAATTCAATTAGAAACTTTCATTAAACAATCTTTTTTTTATTATTAATTGCAGTCTTTTTACACTCAAAAAGACACATTTCTTGCAAAATGAATATCTATTTTAAAAAGTTATAATTACAATGGAAATATTTTTTAAATTAATTTCAGTCATTTTACAATCAAAAAGACCAATTAGTTGCCAATTAAATATTTTTAAAAAGTCATATTCACAATGTAAACTTTCATTACTTTTTCAAATCAACACATTTTTAGAAATAATTTGTCATTTTACACTCAGAAAGACGAATTACTTGCCAATTAAATATTTTAAACCATTCAATAAAAGTATTAAACTAATTCAAAGTCTCTGCCTAACTCATCTAAACCTCACATTTTTCATACATTTCTTGGTTTCCCATGCATGTGGGAACCCCGTTCGCTGTCTGACCCTCTCAACATCAACAAAACCGTCACAAACAGATGTTTACAGACAAAGTGGCACAGTCCAACAAGGTGAAAGAGAGTGCAGGAGAATGAAAAATAGGCGGGATGATATCTGTGTCGGCCCAGGGCGAGAGAAAGCAATGGGGACGTATGAATGAAGCGGCTGCCGGTGTACGCCGGGCGACACCAGATTTAATGATAAATGACACCGTCACCTTGCAGCATTGCCAGAGCCTCGTTCAGGTAGTGAATCACCTTTGGAGCGTAGCGTGGTTCACACTCTCACACACTCACATGCGCTCGGAGCGCCACCACCGCCTTCATTGGCATAACAGATGTCTTCTGTAACCCAGTAGCTCCCAACGCTGTCGACACATGGAGGAGCCATCTGGACCAGAGCTCTGGTGCTCCACAGACTGTGTGTGTGTGTGTGTGTGTGTGTGTTTCGAGTGTTTAGGGGTGGGGTGGGTGTAAATATGTGTGTGTGTTGTGTATTCCCATGACATCAGGAGCACCTGAGCATGCTGCCATTTTTTTGGTGGGATTTACCCATGTTTCCCTAGATTAAGATCTGTGCGACTGTGTGTTGATCATGACGAGGGCGGCAGTGAATGTGATTAGATGTAGGTGGACCCTCAGGCCAGAAACATACCCTGTGCAAGTACACAAGTTGCCGTTGTACATACACAGCATGCATTCTTACATTACTGTCGCTATTCTTGCGTAATCTATTTTGGCATACTCGAGGGGCTGATAGAGTTACCTTCAAATGTCTGTGCCATTACAGTCAATGTGAAACGCCCGGTCTGATGGATTTCAGAGCGAAACAGGATATTCAGCGACAAAACAAATGTAAGCGAGTCCTTTTTGATCCAGTGGTAATTGATTGGACAGTGAAACATTGTATTGTCTCTGTATGACAAAATAATAATAATAATAATAATAATAATACTTTTATAAAAACAATACATTTAAATAAATGCATAAATCTAATAAATAATAAATGTATAAAATATACATATCATATAATATATACAAATATGTAATAAATATAGTAATATAAAATGAAAATAATATAGAATATATTATAGAATACAATAAAATAAATGTACATAAAATATAAATATTACTACTAACAACAACATTTTCACATACAGTGAATGCATAAAATAATACAACAAATTTTAAATACACCATTACTAAATGTTTTCCTCATTATTATTAATATTCATCTTACATTATATTATTTTATATGATACATGTTTATATTTTTTATATTATATTATATGTAATATGTATATATTACCTTATATATAATAGAATATATTATAACTATAAAATACAAAATATAAAATGTATATAAAATATATTGTATAATAATAATAATAATAATAATAATAAATCATCATCATCATTATTATTTAAAATTAAATAAATACATTTAATGAAATATAAATGGTATAGCAATAGTAATAATATATAGTAATAATACAATTTATTGTAAAATAATATTATAAAATTAATGCATACAGTATATACAGTACATATTATATTCAAATTAGTGCTGTTAAATAATTAATCTTGATTAATAGTATCCAAAATAAAAGTTTTTGTTTACATAATATATGTGTGCGTACTGTGTATAATCGTTTGACAGCACTAATTCAAATATATATACATGTTTAATTAATGTTTAAAGTGATCATGTCAACTGTTAAACTAACTTTAACTTGCGCAGCAAGATTCTCTTAAAGCATTGCTGTGCTGTGACAACAGTTGAGCTAAAAGAGAAAACTGACCATAGAGTAAGAGACGTATTTGTGGTGTCATGTTATGAATTGCGTTCAAACAATTTGTGGATCGCAATGAGGCGTGAAACCGAGCTTGTGTTTGCATTCACATACTTGTGTAGAGTATATTTGAGACGTTACAGCGTATACACGCTTGAGATCTCATAGGAGCGCTGAATAAACAGCTGAGATATTGCTTATAGCATATAAACCCCTTTATGCACACACACACTAATTACAATAAATCCTGCATGGAAAAGAAACAAACAAAAACGCTAAGTAAATATCTGGAAAGGCCTGCTGCTGTACGCAACACAATAGCCACGTTTGTAAGTGTTCATGTTTGGGAATGCTGTGGAAATCAGGATTTGGACTTCTGCTCCATAGGGATCCTATATCACAATCTAACACAAACAATGAATGTACGGAGAGACTTCTGATGCACAAAACAAAATGAAAGCACATTCACAGGCCACAAAACACCCGCCACCTCCGAGCACCGGGAAAAACAGCAAATCAGAGAGAAGAGCTGAAGTGTGTGATGCAGCAGAGAAGTTGAAAGACAGACAGAGATAAGAGACACATTTTAGTACACTTGTGTGCATTATAATATGAAGGTAATGTGGTCTAACCATGGTAAGGAAACTGCACGCCATCGTTTTCGTGTTTTATCTTCCTCTCCTGCATACTGGCCAAATGGTGTTGCACTGAAAAACGCAAACAGGGGAAAATAATTTTGTTAATAATGACAGAGAAGGGGAGAGATTGAGATAAATTAGAGAGATGGGGGAAATTTGGGACCACTGTTGAATCATTATCAATACATCATCACTATACACACTTAAAAAAACATCACATGCATGAGGTCAAAGACAGTATTGCTCACTATCTCCCAGAATCAACCCATTCTAAGTGCACCAAAACAGTAGAGGTGAAAAACACACATGTCCCAAAAAGCGTCCAATCAGCAGCTAAACTATGAGGGTGGGGCAGAATATCAAATGAGCATTGGCTGCGTCAAAATTCACATACTATACATACTAAGTACTTATAAAAATGAGCGAGTCACAACTGGCATACCACCCATGTTAAGCAGTATGCAAGTGAAAAATGAGTGTTAATTCAATACTATCCATACTCATGGATACTAAAGTACTAAAACGAGTGTTAAAGTTTATATTCTATGCATACTTAGTATGCAAGCTAAAAATCAGTGTCAATTTGCATACTATTCATATTAAGTGGTGCACAAGATAAGTGTCACAATTCACATACCATCCATACAAAGTAGTATGTAAGCTAACAAGTGTCACAATTTGCATACTATCTATATTAAGTAGTATGCAAGCTAAAAGGAGTGTCACAATTTATATATTATTCACTATTAATAATAATAGTTTAAGTAGTATGCGAGCTAAAAGTGAGTGTCAATCTGAATACTATCCAACTTTGGTAGTATGCAAGCTAAAAACAAATGTCAGTTTGCATACTATCTATAAGTATGCAAGCTAAAAATGAGTGTTACAAAGCACATACTATCCATATATAGTATGCAGTACAAAAACGAGTGTCTATTTGTATACTACCCATACTAAGAAGTATGCGATCTAAAAGTATATGTATTTCAAATACTAGTACAGTGAAAATAGTTTATCATAGGTGTCTAGATTGTATATATCAGTATGCATATTCAATTTTTGAAGTGTGCATTTCTGAAAGCTTTCTCAGATTGATTTTGTCCACAAATATGCAAAATAGGGTGCAGCCAATGCATTTTGGGTGTCAAATCCAACATGGCAGAGTTTTGATTTTGTGGCGTAAGCACAGGATAATTTTTAACTATTCATTGCTTTGATTTATTGAGGGAATGGTGCATGTTTAAGGGTCTGGGCCCGGTTGCATGAAAGTCCTTAAGTAATTTGACTTAGGGGTATCCCTGAGGGGGAAAAAAATCCCTGAGGTAAGGGATTTCGTTAGGAGTGTTGCAAAAAACGTCTTAACTGTCACCCTTACCTAAGTGTTTATACTAAGTGTTTCACGGTAGTTTCTGGCAACATACGGCAATGGGCGCCACGGTTACTATAGTTACTACATCTCACAATAAACAGATATGTATACATATCTATGACAATAAACATAACATAATGAAATACAAACCTAACCAACTAAAACACAGACAAACATTAAATAAACATGAGCGCTGCCCGTTTCTGCGCCTCCTGCTGACCAATAATGGAAAATTTACCAAATGTGAAAATGAACCCATGTTTTGATGCTGCAAACACGCAGAGTTGTAAATGTGAACAGGTGGATCGACAAGATAATGCATTATAAAAATCTAAACAACTAAGACGAATTATATTTATATTGTTATTTAATTAATGTAATAATAATTGATGAATAATAATTGTTTAAATTGATATCATAATTGATACAAAATTTACATAAAACTTGTTGTTTTGTGAAAACCATGCTTTTTACAGTCATTTTACAGTTTAATATGTTACCATAGTCATTGCCCTACTGCGCTCATATGATATTTTATTTGTGCAGGTCTTAAAAAATTTCTTAATACTGAGTTTAAGATGAGTTAAGGGAGCTCTTTTGGTCCCTTAAATTTATTAAGGTGAAATTGTTACTAAGGACTTTGTAGCAACACTTAAGGGAACACTTAAATAATTAAGGGGAATACTTAATGGAAGCCTTAAGGTTCCTTAAGTTGACCCTTAGGTTTTTTTTCTATCAACCCAAGTTTCACCAAGGGCTCCTTTAAACTTATATCTAAGGGATTTCTTAGCATAAGGGCTTTCATGCAACCGAGCCCTGGTGTGAGGATACAGGTCATGTGACAGCAGCTCTGCTCAAGTTAAAATGAATTTCACCACCACATTCTGCCCATGCAACACAACAACAAAGCTGCCTTTTCACACTTACAAAAAAAGATACCATGGTAACAATAGTTTCCACAAAAATGACTCCAGTTATGTGGTAACTTTGGATTTTCTATCACCATCATCAAAAAAGCTTGCACTGCTTGAATTAAGTCCAAACCCATTTGCTTTTGGCAGACAATATGGTTACCATCGTAAATATTTCTAATGGACAGTCAAAATATAAAAAAGAAAGAAACTGATACAGAATAATACAAATAAAGGTCTTAATTAATAAAAATCAGCACTATAAAGAGGAAAGAAGAAGATTTAAAGTAAAACTACTCAAAAAGTATGTTGATATTGTAAAACGGTCTGGTTTATATGATAAAATGCAATAAAAAACTACATCTGTGAAAATATTACAAAGAAAATAATTTCATTTCCATCTCTTTCATATCTATTTGAAGTTGATAAACTGTTCAATTGCTATTAATATCAGTGCAATCTACACCATAAATATAGGAAATATCTAATCAAACTTGTATTCTTTAGTGCTTACGGCCTTTTATAAATAACATTTCAGTGTAAACTATAAATTATTACATATAAAATGTTTCTTTAACCCTAATTCTGTGAAGCTCATCACCTGCACGCATGAATTAAGAATGATTTGAAGTGCTCTTAAGATTTGAATTTAGCTGAGCCCCAAACAAACCCAACTAACAGATCAATTAACATGCACATGATTCTAGCTATCCGATCGCAAGACTATCCAATGTTTGTCCCCGTCTTATTTATTCTCGTAGTCTACTGAGGTATGAGAAGATGGTGGGCATGCACAGAGGAGAAGACAGAGAAAGAGGGCAGCAAAAGAGAGAGATTCATGGGTTGATGGATAAAAGGAAGGAAAAGTCTGGCCCTTCACACAGCCCTTGTGTCCACTTATTCAGTGCATAAATGACTCAAACATGAGTCCCAATTGGATCTGATTATAGATTCAGAGGTAAGTCAGAGTAGGCGACATATTTCATTTGACAAAAAAAACAAAAAACCAAGGCTTCGAGAGACAATCGTGCAGCATGTTTAACATTAAACGTCTATCCCTCAAAGTCTCTTTGTCAGCACAAGTATGGCGTCTACTCTGACTACTCTATGTAAACTTTGATTGGTGCAGCTCAATATAAACAAATATTTTTTTTCATCAGCAGTGGTCTAGATGAGTGGAGGTCAAGCAGAGCATGTGAAGAGCCAGAGGGCTGCTGGGTAAAGCGGCCGTACCTGCATCAACATCATTGGGCCAGCCGCTGGGCTGGGACACTCCCGGGGCAGGAGAACGGCCCGAATAGAAGACTTCGTCCACGGGGCTCTCCATCTCACTGTCATCAATGGATTTACGCTTGTTGGAGCTGAAAGAGAAATGAAAGAGAGAAGATGAGGGGGGATTTTTTTGGAAGGTTTGGACATCTGGAAGGTTTGCATGTTGTTGTATTGTGAAACCTCTGAAAATTCCTGAATAGTAATGAAGCAACATCCTTTAGATTAACATTAGTTACATCTAAAGATTTTTAATTTGCATTTAAAGGTTTCTTGACCTCAAAAATGGGAATGTTTCAAAGGAATAGTTCACCTAAAAAAATGAACATTTGCTGAATATTTACTCACACCCAAGCCAAGATCTAGATGAGTTTGTTTCTTAATCAGAACAGATTTGGAGAAATGTAGCATTACATCACTTGCTCAGCAATGGATCCTCTGCAGTGAATGGGTGCCGTCAGAATGACAGCTGATAAAAAACATCACAATAATCCACACCACTCCAGTTCATCAGTTAATGTCTTGCAGAGCATCCATTGGTGAGCATGTGATATAATGCTACATTTCTCCAAATCTGTTCTGATGAAGAAACAAACTCATCTACATCTTGGATGATCCGAGGGTGAGTACATTTTCAGTAAATTTAAATTTTTAGGTGAAGAATTGCTTTAAATGCAAATTATTACACTATAAAAACATTACAACAGAAATTTGTCAGCTTAAAAACAGTCCACTAAAATCATCACTGTTTCAAGAGCACAGGTTATCTTAGCAGAATGAGACATTAGATGAGCAAAGACAGCAGAGCAAGACAGCAGAGCTTGAAGTGTGGAGTACCTCCGCGGGAGACTGGCATACAACTCCATCTCAGTCCTGCAGCGTTTGAAACATGAGAGAAGGGACAGGAGAAGAGAAAGATAAAGAGACAAAAATGACAGCAATCAAACAGATAAAGGTGAAAGTCAGAGAAAAGAGTAGGATAGGGTGACCATACGTGCCATTTTCCCAGGACTCGTCCTGGCCAGGATTTCTATATTGCCTAAAATATCTAGGTTTTGGCTTTGTTTGCGTGTGCAGACCGATCTGTGTATGACATCAAAATACCTCGAGAGCATTTTGAAAGCATAAGGAACCGTCTGTATGGTATTTTGATGTCATACACCGATCGGTCTGCACATGCAAACAAAGCCAAAACCTAGATATTTTAGGCAATATAGAAAT